ATGTCTCAAATTTGCCTTCGTGTTGTCGATTACGTATGACTATGCATCATGTATTCAGCAAATACACAGCAACTAGTTGAAAACTTCAGCTCAGCATTAAGTTACATGATTTTGCAAAACATGCTTGGCTATCAGAGTCTGTTCAGATCTGAACACAGATCTGAGTTGATCTAATCTATTTAGATCTAAGCAGATCTGAATAGATCTGAGTTGATCTAATATATTAAATTTGAGTAGATATAAGGTAGATCTAATAATAAATAAATAATAATAGATAAAAGTGTACATTTACACACACATAAATCTACTTATATCTATTTATATGTACTTTATATCTATTTGGAGTTACTTAGATCTATTTTTCCGCTTTTTTTATTTTTGTAGATTTAATCTATTAAGTTAGATCTACTTAGATTTAATTCATTTTTTCACAGAGAGAGAGAGAGAGAGAGAGAGAGAGAGAGAGAGAGAGAGAGAGAGAGAGAACAAAGTAAGCAAGAAAGTAGAGATATGTGTATTCTTACCAATCATATCTGTTCTTTTTATTGCTGTTAACCACATTTCTGTCCGTTGCACATCCTTTGGTTGTTTCATGTTGTAGAATTTCTTTATTTGATGTACAATTGGGCACGCAACATTTACAAACTACTTTCCTGAAATGCTTATTACGACCTAAAAAATAAATAATATTAATATTAATAACTACTAAGAATAATTACTACTAAATATTATACTGCTAATATTACTACTAATATTCTAGATTTAAGAAATTGAGTTGAAAGGCCGATCCGAGCAGTAAAATACAAGTTGGTCGTGTATCACAAAAAGTCTTTATTAAATAACACAGACGTTTCGGTCACTAGTTTGGACCTTCTTCAGTGTATACAAATGTGATTTGAAAAAGATAACACGCGAGCAGATAGCATCTAAAACAGTCAGCACACTGTGTCAGCACAGTACACAGTACACAGGAACAAGTAGTTTTGCGGACTGAGTGCAGGGATTGCAAATATGAAGGTCTCGAGTTCAAATCCCACCCTAGGATTTTTTTCATCACCTTAGGATTTTTTCCGTGTCCAGTACCTTTCATCGAGTTAATTAGGCCGTTTTCCTTTTAGGAGACACAGTCGACACAAGTCGACACAAGAGTCATTCTGTCTTTGTTTCTCACTGAATACTGAACGAAGACAGAATGACTTTTGTGTCGACTTGTGTCGACTGTGTCTCCTAAAAGGAAAACGGCCTTAGTTGATCGACGAACTAAATCAGATTTCCAAAAATTAATTTGAGTGAAATCTCGAATTAATTAATTTCCCTTTCACAAAGCGATGTGTTAGTGAATATATATTTGTCCGTTTTCGACATATTGTATTTTTGCTGAAATTTATGACACATGTTGTTGGCAACTTGTTGTCATGTTGCTCTTTATGTTAGTGATAAACCGTTGACAGCAAATACACAGCAAGTTGTTGGCAACACATGTTAAATACGTGTCATGTCAAACCAAAGACAAATGCCTGACTCACCTTGTTCTAAATTTGCTGAAAACTCAAGCGTTTTGTTTTCGGCAACATGACAGCAAAAACACAGACAGGTGGCTATCAGGGAATATAACAATAACAATACAATAATAACAACAAAAACAAATAACAATATAACAATATAACAATATATAATGAGAAAATGAAAAAAATATACCTGTATTCTCTGAAATTGATACTAATTCTGGTGCAGTTATATTTTGGGCTATGTAGTCTGCAAGAAATATTGGATCTGTAAAATATAGAAATTGCATAATCATAATATATTGTTGCATAATATGTTACAAAATAAAATTAAAAAACTGGACATTAAGAAAGTAAGATAAAAATACCCATTATGAAAATTTCTCAGTAAACAATTTGTTCGGAATTTGCCAGCAAATTGTCAGCAAGTTGAAGCAAAAATATTCAGCATTGTCATCAACTGTGTCCGCATTAGGCTTCGATTTTGTTGCCAAAGCTTGTAGACAAAAAGTAACAACAAATTGCTACCAAAAACCGAGCAAAGTTTGATAACATAACTTGAGACCAAATTGACGCCAAATATAAAGCACAATCTGCGCAACACGATTTGATAGCAAAATGACATTTATAATATAAAAAAATGACTTAGATTCTTCATTTATGTTCTCGAATAAGTTTTCTTGGTTATTCTCTATGTTGTCTTAGTATTACCTTGTAGAAAAAAATCCATTGTGTTAGAAATCATCTCGACTGGATTCGAACCTGGAACCTGGAACCCCCCTCTGATTACCAAGCGGGCACACTATTAATTTAGCCATTGAAACTTTCACAATCAATTACTTTAAAATTATTACTTTAAAACTAATATGTTAATGGCATTCAGTGATATTGTTACTAATTCTAAATAAAACTATTTGTTACTAAGTAAATCAATAAATTTTTAACTGTTTTCTAGTAAAACTAATCTGTTACTGACACCTAACTTTAAGAGAGGCATTTTTTCACTGCAAATCAGTGATATTATGACTGAATCAGTTAGTGAAATTTTAATTAATTCTATTAGGAGAATGCAGTTTGGCCATAATATTTAATCGCTTTTCATATCTGTTTAGGAAAATTCAATTATGTATTAATAAACGATAAATATTGTGTACATGCATAATCTAAGTTATATATTTGATAATATAGAAATATGTAAAATTGTAAAATTATTTAAAATTAAATATTATACAGACAATTATTTGTTGTAAAAAGTGGAAATATTAAAATATTTCACATAGATGTCATTTTAATATTTATATAATTATTGTCAATTTAATATTCAAATGTAAACATAATTTTGCACATATTATGTATAAAGATTATATATACAGGGTCCGCCACTTAAATCCGGACAAATTTGAATTTGACATTCCCATCATATTAGAATGCAGCAGTAGGTGCCATATGACCTAAAGATAGGTTAGAGACGTCGATAAGACATTAATAACCT